GTTGGTAAAAGTCATAAAAATATAATGAGCAAAGTCTATTTTTATTATATACAGTAAGTCTAAAGAAGAACCTCTCCAATTGAAGCTTTTTTCATATCCCATAAATCAATGCACCTAGTGAGAATATAGCATGTCTCTGGCTGTGCTTAAAATAATATATAAATACTAGGATTAGCATATAGAAGTGCAGAGGAGTATATGTTTCCATACATTCCAGTAACACTAAAAGCACATTAACCAGAATTCCTACTGTGTATGGAAAGCAGGACACACACATAGCTATTTCTGTATTCCTGCATTCAGCTGGCACTTACTATGTCACACAGAGATGAGAAGGAGATGTAAGTGCTGTGATCACGGGTGAAATCTTACAAAATGCTGTGACATTCACAAATGTGAAGAGATCAGGTAGCTGTCAGTCTCACACGCTTAACTATGTCAGGTCAAATGCATTATTCAAAACGAGTTAACCATTTAACTAATGACACTGTCATTCACTGTAGGTTATGCTGGCCTTTCATCATGTAAAAATGACTGCAGCTACAAAAATAGTCAAAGTTAATGTAATTGAAGAATTAATCTTGAGCAGCACAAGTTAAAGAAAATGTGTAAAGTATAATCTGTACATCCATAAACATCGCAGCCTAGTGCTTCTACCACTGCACAACCAGCCATTTACATCCCAGCACACTGCACTCAAGTATATGAATGGACTTGGCTCATGGACTGCCCGTTTTTTGGAGAGTTTAAAAACTGTTTTACATGCATAAGTGCACTGCTTTGAAATGCCAGATTTGCAAAGGAAAAATGTCGCATTGCCTTGCCCATAATGATCAGTCATATTTCCACTGTTATTTTTATAATATTTCAGGTAAATTTCTGGAAAAAATATTTTAAAAATGTACTATTAAAAAGGGAAAACAAAAATCAATTCATGAATGTTTAGTGCCAAACTTCAGCATATTAAACTGTTCAAAAGCTACTGTTTTCTACCATGGTGGTGTTTGCTTAAAGGATAGCTAAACCTAAGAAAAAAAGTATCCCGCATTGCAGATCGCTAGTTCCTAATGCTAAAAATTCACCCTAAATGTCCTCCTCCCACTCTCCTCTAACTCTTTTGGATATTTTTACTTTTTTTGGGGGGGGCAGGTACCTAGTTTTTCAAGCACCCGCTCCCACTCATTTCTGGTCAGACCGCCTAGGTGATTCCATCGTAAGTTTGCTCCTCCCCACCCCAAATTCAGCCTTCTAGGACATGTCACAGGGTCCCAGCAGGCTGCAGAACCATTCACACAGTGCAGAGTGGCTCGCACATATTCAGTGGGAAGCCAGCTGTGAATCCACAAGGAGTCACAGCCGGCTTCTCACACTAAAAATGCCGATATCAAGGACCTGAAGACCAGTGAAGAACCAGCCCAGGGGGGGGGACGGCGGTGGATCCTTGGACAAGTAAGTGTTCTTTTGTTAAAAGTCTGCAGCTACAGTATTTGTAACTGCTGACATTTATTTATTTTCAAAAAGGCCAAAGAACCTAATTAAATATGGTACTCTTTGGTTTAATATCTTCAAGTATAGAAAAATAACTATATCTTGCCAGAGCTCCAGTGTTCCTGAAACGTCCTCTGCACTGAACTGATATTTCATATAATCAATGAATAAAAAGAAACAGCAGTGAGCGCTAATCCTGAAAGCGGCTAGGCACTCTAAGCAACCAATACACTTAAAAGCAATTGCAGCGCTGAAAATAATGACAAAATGACAAAAAGGTAGTCCACTAAAAGTCTATGGTATCCAGTGTCTGATGTGGAATCAGAATAGGTGATCCGTGTGGAAATGGCTGGAAAACGCACTCACCAGAAGTAAGACACATAAACGCAGTGTGTATATAAAACTCAAGGATCTTCAATCCAGAGGGAAGTAAAGCTGATCCGGTTACAGCTGCCTGGCTGCGAGAGCTCAGCTGTTGGCTGGCCGGGAACAGGAAGAAGGTGGCCTGAGAATCGCTGGATGGTCCTCAGTGCACAGGAGGCGCTCCCCGGCACTCCTCCGATCCTCAGCATCAGGTGTCGCTCCCAGGGTTCTGCTGGGTACTCTGCATGAAGCTCGGAAGGTATTGCCGCAACACAGACCAGGAGCTTTTGCTTGCAGAACCTTGGTCTTGGAATTCTACATCTAATCGTGTTAAGGAAGATCGGTTGCTGCATCTGCGGAGGAGGGATTCACCATTCCTGTAACCGGATCAGCTTTACTTCCCTTGGGTTTGAAGATCCTTGAGTATTTATATACACTGCGTTTATGTGTCTTACTTCTGGTGAGTGCGTTTTCCAGCCATTTCCACACGGATCACCTATTCTGATTCCACATCAGACACTGGATACGTTTATATTCATAGACTTTCCTGGACTACCTTTTTGTCATTTTGTCATTATTTCAGCGCTGCACTATTTTTATGTTATTTCATCATATAATCGGCCTGGGTAACCATGACTGCCTCCACAGATACAGTAGAGTGATGGAATGTAGCCACCCTAGGATTGGAAATGTGTTATGCACAGGCTTACCAGGTGAAAATAAAGGAACAAATTTATAAAAAAGGAATCCTATCAAGCTACCACATCTAAAGACTTGTAAGCTTACATTTATGGTTATGAGTGAGGAGAAATTATTCTGTTCTGGTCAATTTTATTTTTTGTCACTAGCAAATGGTTGCTTTATATCAGGTGTATGGGTATGATAACAATGATAAAATAATATAAAGGAATAATAATCAATAAAATGCAAGGGATAAATGTAAACCATAAATGACCACCATAAAATAGCTCTTAATCATGAAATATTAAAATATTAGGAAAAAAGTCCATAAATTAAAATGCGATTTAGAAGTCAAAAATCATGAATGGACCCCAAGGTGACGCGGTTAATCCCGATGGTATATCAGTCATCAATCAGGGTGGTGGGTGGCAACAAATAGATAAAATGCGCACTCACCGGAAGCGCAAAGGGAATGAGCAATGTATTTCCCTTTGCGCTTCCGGTGAGTGCGCTTTTTATCTATTTGTTGCCACCCACCACCCTGTCACATTTGAATTTATGGACTTTACTAATATTTTAATATTTCATGATTAAGAGCTATTTTATGATGGTCATTTATGGTTTACATTTATCTCTTGCATTTTATTGATTATTATTCCTTTATATTGTTTTATCATTGTTATCATACCCATTCAATTTTTAGCACTGCACTATTTTATACTAGTTATTACTGAAGGTTTTATGGTCTCCTTTCTGGTGCATAGCTGCTCTCCTTGTTAGTCAAGAGCTCGCTTATATATCGTCTTCTATTTTGCTTTATATCAGCCTTCTTGTAATTGCATAAGCTTTTATTTTGTGCTTCAATATTTAATATAAAGTGCATCCAATGCACTAATTTTGCAGCAGAGCATCCCATGGTTGTTAAAACAGAAATTCTAGCACTAATTGCTTTCATAGGACGGTCTCAGTTCAATTAGAAATATAGACAGGGCCATATACAGTATGCAGACTGTTCTATCTCTAATCATTCAGCTGTATGTGTAATCTGAGTTCCTGCTATTGTAGAGAAAAGGCTGCAAACTAGCTCTGATTGTCTCAATCCAACTGAAAATACAGAGAGGCCATATATTCTGAGCAGAGAGAAGAAGGATTTGCTCTTCCTCTGATCATTCAGTTGTACTGTATGTGTAATTTTAGTACCTGCAGTTGAGGTTTGTTCACAACCCAGGCTATTCACATCAAAGAAGTAAAGTAAGGCTGATATGGAAGAGGATGGCACATCAAAGCTCCACCCACTATCTGCAAATAGTGAATATGGCATGTTTAATGTAATATTCACATTTTCCTAAGAAAGTGGAAAAATTGTTAAAAAATTTGTAGCCTTAAAAATAATAATGAAGACATACAAAAACACTATAAATCATAGTTGTCAACATTTAAAAAAAAAACTTTCAATGCACACTGTTTTGCTGCGTGTCCAGCAAAATGTTTCTTGGCAGAGAATGTACTTTATTTAGGGGTGGGGCATGCATTTCAAATGCCCTTGGTTTTACATGAGACATATCGTTAATCTAATGCTGTACTTTAATTCAAGATATATAAGAAAAATGTAGTTATAGAACTAAAGAAAAACTTAAGCACGGCAAAACACTGGTAATAACAGTAAACGTAAACTCTGATTCCGAGGTTCAAAAGAGGACTGCAGACATTTAAAATGATTAGAAATTAACATTCAGTATTACTCATCTTCAAATGCATGTGACAAGAAAGCACATAGGAATGATAAAACATTTAAAAATTAAGAAACAATCCTATTTGAATTATTTTTCACATGGGACTGAATCACAACTCAACCCTTGGAAAATCAAGATCAAAAAGGCTTAGAAATTATAGCAGTTCAGTGTTTTTCTGGAAAATATGTTCCCCTTTGTACCTTCATTTTAAGTTGTTAAGTTCTGATCTGTCTCAGGCAACCCCTGCTAAATTCATGGCTCAAGGAACCATTTGCAACCTTTGGAGGAACCTCAGGGTTCTCCGGAACCCTGGTTGAGAAACCTTCTCTAAAAGGTTCATATCTGTTTATGATTGGTATTGCTAAATCTTTCACAATCGTTCCTGATCTATCTTCTTGTATTTAAAGGTCTTTTAATTTTCATAACAAGAACTGGAGAAAGACAAGAAATCGAGGCAATAGAAAACAAGATGTTCTGTCTTTTGGATCCAATCAGATTGCAGTTTTTATTCTTAACGTGACTATTATTTGAGGCAGCTATCTTGTTAACTAAGTTCTTTTAAAGAGCGGTCAATCATTGTTCTCACCCATTCATGAACATTTTAAGCACAGGTACACAAAAATAACCTGCAAATCCTATCTCCTGAAATCCAGAAAAATCAAGTTGTACGTATAAATGTAAAAGGAATGTACGTTATGCTCTACAGTGTGAAATAGGGTGCATTATCAAATATATTCTTACAGGGTATGGTCAGGCCTCTCTGCAAGCTTCAAAGCCTCATGCATCCCTGCAGCTGACAGCTTCCGGTTGATATTTCTGTACCTGCATTGTAACAGATTGCGATATGTTGTCCTCAAGTCTCTGTTAAAAAAGGCATAAATAAAAGGGTTTATCAGAGAGTTCGCATATCCCAACCATAAAAATGTTCTCTCCATCCACAATGGAATACAGCTGCATTCTGTCCCACAGATAAAAGGTCTGGCCGTTGATAATATAAAAAAAGGTAGCCAGCATACAGTGAAAGCCCCGACAATAATCCCGAGAGTGGTAGCAGCTTTTTGTTCTCTTTTAAAAATTGAAATGTTTTTTCTGTCATTTTTCAAGAGTCTTGATAGATTGGCACATTCTTCAGATTCTTTGTACATTTTCACAACACCGTTCGCAGTGATCAATCCCCTCGCTTTCCTCTGATCGCGGGAACCCCGTAAACTTGTGTTTGGCTGCGCTCCTTTTAGCGGCTTTGAATATTCTATAGTACATAAATAGCATCACCGACATGGGAATGTAAAAGGCAACAGCTGTAGAATAAATAGTGTAGCCAAAATCTTGACTGATTAAACAGACGTTGTCATCGTTGACATTCTGCGCCCATCCAAACAGAGGAGGTAATGTGATCGATGCAGATAGGAGCCAAACACACAGGATCATTTTGGCCATGCATTTCCCATTCTGTCTTACAGGATAGGTCAGAGGTCGAGTAATTCCCAGATATCTGAAAACAAACAGAAGATGTAATTTAAGTAGAAATCTAATGGATTTTATATATAAACATTTCCAAGAAACAGTCTGCTGCCCATAGCAACCAGTTCAACATTTTATTTTTTAGGTTAATTTTTTTATTGTTTTTTTTTGGATCCTTCAATTCATTTGTGTCAGATGTGCTAGAAACAACAGGAGAATCTGATTGGTTTTCTATGAGCAGAACAGTCAGTTCTCTTAGACATTAAACCGTTAATCTTTAGTAAACAAAACCTATGCATTTCATTATAGGTATATGACCAAAGGCACAATCATTGGAGTAACGTTACATTTTGCTTCTGTTAAATACAGTGTATAGTCTTTTCAATGATTTTTAGATACGCACATGAAATCAATATGATGATATGTTTGTGCTATTCATTTTATTTCTGTATACAAGTCCTAATTAAAGATATACTGAATATGGGGCAGCCATATTTGGTCATTACATTAGCAGGCTTTGCTTCTTGATGTGGTTTTCTGCTTCTTATATTTGAAGATTATAGGTCAGCTGACTCATTAAAACCAATGTACCTCTCTAAGTGGTTGATATCTCATCTAAAAAGGTAATACAGTCGCTAACCTATTCTGATTCTAGTAGCTATCATTTCATTTATCAAAATACAGTAACAATAAAAGGGAAGAGAAAGTATTTCAAAGTGAAAGTTACTTTAGAGCATACATACAACCCATAGTAACCAATCAGCTTCTGACTTCAACTTGTTCAATTAAGCTTTGACATTAAAACCTAGAAGTTGATTGGTTACTCTGCATAGCTGCACCAGATGCTACTGCTGGTCTCTTCTGGGTACAGGGCGCACGCCCCAACCTGCCAAATCCACAGCTGGATTTTGTCAGCAGGTCCCGGCCAATGTCTCATGGCCAGTCCTGTTGATTGGTTATGTCCAATCACAGCCCAGAGCCCTGTATTGACAATCAACACAGAGCTCTGTCCAGAGGGAACAACCTTTTTGTTTCTTCTCTCTGCAAAGCAGGGAGAAGGAACAAAAAGACTTTTAGTAAAAGGTAGTACATATTAGACACATTAGCACTTGTTAGGCACACCAACCTTGATTACCCCAAGATGTGAACACCTTCCCAGCCAGTGTCATTAGTACAGGGACAGTGTATAATATTATCATTGTATTCAGTGTATTACTGTCGCTGGTGATGTCAGCGTCAGTTAGTCAGTTCCCGTCCAGTATCATTTAGTGTCAGATTGCCCGTCACACTATCACAGCCCCACTATAAATTCCAATATATATAGCACAGTTTGTAGACTTTCAAGCAAATCAATCAATATACGCTTATTGGGATTTTTTGTTTACCAAATTGTAGCAGAATACATTTTGGCCTAAACATTTTTTTTTGTTGGATATGTTTTATAGCAGAGAGCAAAAAAATATTTTTTTTTCACAATTTTAGGTCTTTACTAGTTTATTTAATAAAAAAAAATTAAAAACCCAGTGGTGATCAAATACCACCAAAAGAAAGTTTTGTTTGTGTGAAAAAATGATAAAATCTTTGAGTACAGTGTTGCATGACAGCGCAATTACCAGTTAGAGTAGCTCAGTGCTAAATAGCAAAAATTGGCCTATAGGCATAAAGGGGGTAAGTCCTTCTGAGCTGCAGTGGTTAAAAGTGAATTAAAGCATTTTTGATTTGAGGTGCCCAGATACAGTGTAGTTCTGCTTTAACCCCCTGATGCCGACGTCACACAAATATGCAGCCTCACGGAACTGGGCTTTTTTCTGTGGGGCCGCATATTTGCGTACCTGTCTTTGTGCTGGGAGTGCGTCGCACTCCGCACTCCCAGCACAAAGACCACGGTGCCACTGAGAGCCCCTTTTCTTGTCTGTCTGTCCACCTGTAAGGTGAATGATGTGGCGAGTCTGTGGGTGAGACCAAACCTGATTTAAACCAGCCAAGCCTGTAGTCTCATGCTGGTGATATTGCATTTGCAACATGTGCTCCAAGCTCCCTGTTTGCCTGCCAACCTGCTAGCTTGGATTCCCTCGTTGATGACCTCAGATCGGCTATAGACTATTCTCCGAAACCTGCCTGCCTTTTGACTATGAATTTGACCCTGATTATTCTGCCAACCGCAAGTAACTGTTTGCTGTACTCAGTTTGCACCTGCCCTGGTGTGGTGGCTTGGTAGCCAGGTACTATAGTATTGTGTATAAGACCTAGGGGCAACCCAGTAGAGGTAGGCCTGCTTGCCTTATGGGAAATGGGGCTGCTATAGATGAAGAACTCAAAGTAGAACTAAAGGCAAAACATTTTTTTTCATTTTGGATAGAATAAAGGACGTGTAGTGTAATAGTTACTGGCTTACAAGAAACTAAAGCTGGCCACAGACAGTACGAGCCTGGCCAGTTCAGGTGAACCTTCTGAAATTTGAACCATGTATAGGCTGGCAGAAAGTACCAAAGCTGATCGACTGATCAGCTTATGTACAACCAGCCTGTCATATTAACATGTGATTGTTGCTAGCAGCTGGAAGAACACAATGGCTTTCATGGGAGGGAATTCCCTCATCAACACTGACCCATGGTTGCACGAAAGAAAATCGCTCCATCTATGGCTGACTTTAGTAATAGTTTTTATGTTATCAATTATGTCAGTGTACAAGTAATCACTTCTGTGTCTATCTATATACTGTACAACATATCTATGTATTCTCTGTATACTGTTGCATCTGATCTCCCTTTCCTTACTCTGGGAATGTGGCTCCAGCTGGATTTAGGCTATATACTGTATATGAATGGAAGACAAAAGACCATTTGAGCTTGCTCAGGACATTAAGTGGACATGTGCCTGAGAAAAAAAGAGGACTACTGACTCCATGAATTTTGAATGAAATGATGGGCTACCCTGGATTGAAACAATGGTGTATTTATCTGTTTTACCATCTGTAATACATCTTTATACCAAGCTAAGTAAATTCCTTTTATTATTATACTTTTAAGTTGTTTGAATTATTGCAACACATAATGTCTCTGAAAGATTAAACATAGGAACCCAAAAATGTTACCTTGGGACTGTTAAAAGTCCATCTGTGTACCATTGAGAGGATTTTTCTTTACTTCCTATTTCATAGCCAAAACAAGAAGGAATCCTTCCGAAGTGAGGTAATCTTGGTTGTCACTAGAACTATTGTCCCCATTTGAAGATTCAGGTGACAATTCAAAATTGGGAATTTTCTTTTAACTTTCAATCTCCATAATGGACAAGAAGAGAAAGAGAAAATCTCCCTAATTGGGGACGTGGCAACTATAATAAGCTGACAGGTTCTCTAACTCCTCTCCACTCTATCCAAAATTTTAAAAAAAAGTTTTGCCTTTTGTGTTACTTTAAGCCTTGCAGTGCCAGAAGTTCAGCATTTGAAAGAAGACGTGGATCACTGGAGGAGAGCAGCTTTCTACAGAAACCATCAGCCTGCTGGATGTGGGATGTACTTCACTACAGGTAAGTTATGTGACTGCAGCTGTAGCAAAAAAAATATTTTTTTACCAAAGTTTAAAAACTACGCTCTCATCAGGTGTCTAAACGGAAGGAGGACCCCCCACCTGGGGACAGCTAATATGCCCAGCCACTTATCAGGTGTGGTAATCTGAGAACAGGAAAGAGTGAAATGTCTATCCCTTAGGCATGTCTAGGAGTCCTAAAGATTGTGGAAAAAGGAATCAAAGGGCCCAGCAATGTAGGTAAAGATGGTCTCTTCCAAAGCATCACAAGCAGGCATGTTCCAATGGACTGGTTCACTTCAACAATGACAAAATTGTAAATTATTTTGGTGGAGCATACTTTTGGTTAAATGACTTTCACTGCTTGCTTTTTCAATGCTGATACAAGAAAATATGAAAACTCCAAGAACAAAATAAATATCCATTACATGCATGAGAAGAAAATATGCCAGATACAAAAGTTTGATTGTCTAGGCTGCATTTTTTTGTCAGTTTTCCCAGGTGAATGAACAGGCTGATCTACACAATAAGTATGTGAACATAGGAACATGCTCATGCTCATGCAATTGACAAGTGTAACAGCAGCTAATTCATCAAAGTCATGTCTGAATGAAAAGTTCATTACAATGCATATTGTCTCTTTTGTGTCCGCCTGGCAAGATGACAGGGGAGCCTAGGGAGAAGTAGAAGATATTACTGTATGCTGAATATACATGAATAGAATAGGCAATTTAGACTGGAGCAAGAAAGTCAGATTTTTATTTAAAGGAAACCATAAAGGATGTATGAATGCATTTCTGTAGAAGGGAAATGCTAGGCTCACAATCTAACTATAATAGAATGGGGATCATTAGCACAATCAGCAACACATTTTCCACTTTTCCAGGTGAACCGTGAACATATACTCATGTGCGGAGGAATTTGTAAAAAAGTAGACATTTCCTTTGCACATGACTATAGGGTTGAAGTTAATTCAAGCTTTGCACAGTAAAGTGAAAAATGCGTAAAGTCAACTCCAGTGTAATTTAGACATGAATTTCCAACCAATCTGTATTTAAGAAAATATTGGCATAGGAACATACATTAGGCTTCCTATGTGACTTATATTAGGCTGAGCTGACTTGTGACAGATTTAGAATATACAGGTATGGCCAGATGTTTAGTTTGAATGGAGGAAAAGCTGAAACAATTGTAAAAGTGACAACACATGGTATAAAATGCAGATGCAAGTATTCTGTGACCAGATTTCCTTCCTGCCTGTTCTACATCCAAATGGATATCGATCATGTGGGAAGAGCTCTTTGCTTATGTTAAATAATGGCATATCAAATCTAAACAGCCAAACCTGTCATAGAAAAAGCAATCTGTGCTAGAAATACTGTATGCACTCTGCCACTGATGAATTGATTTTGGAGATATGCGCTTCAGAGCTTTTATCCTTATCCATCCTTCACTACTTAGTAAGTTGCTAACCTAAACACAAGCATGACATATTGGGACACTGCATGCCTGTTACAGGGCAACAACTCTTTAAATTGGTCCTACAGTTAAATTTTTTTTATGTAAAATAAAAAACATGTCACCCATTACTTACCTGCTCTATGCAATATTGCACAGAGCTGCCCCATGTCTCCTCTTCTGGAGTCCCCTTCCAGTGCTGTCCATTCCTCCTCTTCTGAGTGTGCCCCCATAGCAAGCTGTGTGCTAAGGGGGCACACATGTGGGCGTGTTCCCAAGCCAGGCTGTGTGCATCCAAAGATGCACACAGTGTCGCTCGGCCATGCCCCCACACTGTCCACTAACAGGATTTGATTGACAGCAGCAGGAGCCAACAGCTCCCGCTGCTGCCTCTGTGTTCTAAGAGAGCAGGATGAGAGCATTTGCAAATGGGCAAAGTGCTGGATCTATACGTTTTGTGGGGAGGGGTACTACTACTACATACTACTACTGGATCATTTTTTACCTTGATGCAGGAAATGCATTAAGGTAAAAATGTTTTGACTTTAGTATCACTTTAAGGTAAAGAGGACTAACCTGGAAATGTACCCTCGAACATAAATCAGCAGTGGCAGCTCCCATATTTCTGTTTGATAGGCTTCCATTGTAGGTAGGTTCTGGTGAAATGGAAAAGCAGGTGTTTTTTTTTTTGTTTTTTTAAACAAAAGATTCAAAATCAAAAAATGATAAGCAATGAATTGTTTTTTTTTTCTTTGCAGTGCCAGAGACGCTGCTGTCCATCATAACATGTTGACGATAATGGGAAGAAAGCTTTTGACCTGCTCAGCTAAAACATGATGAGGAGGAGGACAGACGACATACTGGTCCTAAAATATTTGTAATTTTTTCCATCTATATCTGAATGTTAAAAGGTATCATGGTAGTTGTGACCAGTCTAGAGAACAAATAATAGTAGAGGTATATCCACAGAGACACTTAACCACTTTATAAGAGCTGGTCCTAATGGGAGCTAGTTGCATATTATTGCAGCCCAGCATTTAGGATGCTCAGAGCACTCTATAACCAATGAGAAATTACATGTTAGTACATGGAGGTGTCTACTAAGAAACGTAGATGCAAGTTTAATGTGTTTTTTATATGCACAGGAACATTTATAGGGGTTGATTTACTAAAACTGGAGAGTGCCAGATCTGGTGCAGCTGTGCATGGTAGCCAGTTTCTAACTTTATCTTGTTCAATTAAGCTTTGACAAAAAACATGGAAGCTGTTTGGTTTAGTAAATCAACCCCTTAGTATATCCAGACCAGAGATCACATTTTAGGATTTTCGTCAATCTAGACTTTGTCATAACTTTTGAGAAAATCTGCTTTGCCCAGCTCCCTAAATATAACTTTAGGTAACAGAGAGGCTTAAGCATATGAAAATAAAAACATATTTCTTTTTCAGTTTTGATAGTGTAGGGAAGGGTTAAACCACTGTTCTTTTTTTTTTTTTTTTGCTGTCTGTGTCTCATTAAAGAAAATTACCTTATACTTCCTGTCCTGAGGAATGAACAGGAAGTGAGAGATTATGTTTCCAATGTGATGAAAATCTTCTTACAATTGTCACAGGAACAGGCTTTCCCATCTTTTATTGTTCTGGTGGAAACTCAGAATTATGGAATTATACTTACTTTGACTTTTACACTGTAAATCTAAATTTACTACAATCTGTCCTTTTTTTCCAGAATGTGTTAGTACTAAGTTCCATTACTCAGAGCACTGCTGTGACAGCAAACCAACTTATCAATGCCACTTGTAAACACAGAAACCACTAGCAGAGGAAGTCTTCCACTACTCACTCCCTCTGCTGGGCTCTACATTAGGCCTGGGTGGACCCCCCCCAGATCTGGCCAGCATAGCCATGAGTGTGGAGCATTATGATCGCTGGCCCCACTGTGTATGTTTGTGGACAACTGAAGACAGAAGAGGTGCTGCAGCATATACAGTAAATGGATTAAGTCACCGGTCACACACCGCTGCGATTTAAAATTGTGCGGTTTGTGTGCAATTTCAGCATGATTTCAGGTGCAATTTCTGAAGACTTTATTGCTACTTGTGAAGATTTTCAACAATTTCTTGCAATTTGCAGTGCGATTTCCATTATATTCTATGTATGTAAAATTGCAACAAAACTGCAGAAAAAGTAATGCAATAACTACTTTAGAAATCAAAATGTTAAGACACTGACATTCACATTCATTAGATGCAAGTTCAGGTGCAATTTCAATTCCCAAGTCACACCTGAATGACCGGGAACTTACTGTGAGAGGGACGTGGAGGTGCTGCATGCTTTTCTAGGGAAAGAGATGGGTTTGACAGCAGGGCTGGACTCTGCCAGGGTTAAGACTCCACTCTGTGTCTTTGCCAAGCTATTGTAGAACGCCCCAGCAATAGAGTGGTAAGCATGATCCTACTTAGGACAAATCAAGCAGTTTTGACCTGGTCTGACACCACATTTCAAAACTCAGGGCTCCCTCATTTCCAGAAATAATGCTAATACCAAGGCCATCGAGAGGACAAGGCTCAAGGTTATACGGCTCAACACAAGAAAAGGCAGACATAGACATTCCAAACTGCAGCAGTGGTATCCCATTGGCAAGCCAACTGCCCTGATGCAAGGCACATCCCAGTCTCTCCAATCGGCCTACATTTACAGTATAACTGCTAATTTACCCCCCAAAAAAGGTAGGTCAAGATCCATTATGTTTCATGCCACACCAAAGCGGTTACATAAAAGGACCATGCGGTAAACCATCACAAACTATGTGTATATAAATACAATTTTATTATGTATCAAAAATGTAAATGCAATAATTGCCAATTAAACACACAAAAAAACAGTTTTACATTAGATTTAGTTTTTTCCTGTTATCTTGTTGTTGCAGATATTCCATCTACAGGTCCCCAAGGGACCCCTTTGGTCACCATCAACAGATAATTATTTTGCAACATTGTATTTTGCGCATTGCCTGTTCCAGCCCGAAGGGGCTGCAGTTTGTGTGGGGTGGGGATGGATGTATATTTTTTTTCCTGTACCGTTTGTAACTTCACTTATGAAAAAACTAAAACACTATTGGAAAGAAAAAAAAAAAAACACAAAAAACAATAAAAACACCAATATCCATCACCTCACTCCAGGCAACGTTGTCTGTAACACCATTAAAATGTAAACATGACGTTGTGGTATGATCATAGCTATTATAAAGTTCTCATTGCGACAGCAACACTTCCAGTCATCTGTCAGGCTATAAATATCACCATCTGGGCTACCACAATTGGGATATATTGTTGTGGACTAAAGTGTCTATGTTAGTCCAATGACACCCCCTCACGCCCTTATCAGTTGTTCAACTATGCAGTTAGCAAGGAGACAAATATTTGGAGGTTTGAATAACGCTGCTCTATACCAGCTCCAAGAGCTTGCTTGAGTTAGGCACTGGAACTAGGAATGTAGGGGCAGGGGTGAGCACAATATATGGCTTCCAGTACAAATATCTCAGATAGCTTCCACTAATCAAAAATTCACTGACTTCACATTGCACTCTATAGTGTAGAAAAGGACGCCGCTCTAACTGCACGTGGAATCTAGTATGAAGATGGCCTCAGCCGTCGGTCCAGCCACACCCTTCCCATTGCGCTCTGCTGTGAAAGATAGTGAGATCCCCAGTGTGACAGCCAATGAGATCCTCGAGATGAAAGCCAACAATGAGATGCTTGAACATCTCACTGTCAGGGAGGTTGAGATTTGGTATCTGGGAACAAAGATTAGGTGTTCAGCATTCAGGAGCTGTCAGCATGATGGTGTTCCTATCTACCCATTGCTGATCCTTGCTGTATTGGAATACATGCTATGCTTACAAAAACTGCTTAGTGGTTAGCACTTCTGCCTGGCAGTACCAATGTAGGACTTTTTCTAAAAGCAGTGGGCATGTGTGCAATAGCATAAATTGAGCCCCTTCGGCTATGAATTATAAAATGCGGTGAAAGCATTTTTTAATGGCACTAAATATTGGGCGTGGCTTAAAAAGATGTGGTTACATAGAGCGTGAGTTGCCTTATATAGCATAGAAAGCATCACGTACTATTGACCTCTAAATGTTGTGTCAGTTACCAATGACCTCTGCTTCACTACTGACCTCTGAACTCTGCATCACTTACTGCTGACCCCTGAATTCTACATAGTTAGTTTGGCTAAAAAAAAGACATGAGTCCATCCAGTTCCACCAAAAAGTTATAATTCTATAGCCACAGTTGATCCAGAGGAAGACAAAAAAACCCAGCAAAGCATGATCCAATTTGCTCCTGCAGTGGAAAAAATTCCTTCCTGATCCCCCGAGAGGAAATCGGATATTCCCTGGATCAACTTTACCTATAAAATGTTAGTAATGTCTAAGTCTCTTACTACTGACCCCTGAACTCTGGGTCACTTACTACTGACCCCTGAACTCTGCATCACTTGCTACTGACCTCTACATTAGTTACTACAGAGTTCAGTACCAACACAGAGTATGGAGTGCAGTAGTACGTGACCCTCTGTCTCACAGTACTAACAACTATGCTCTGCACTGCTTCCTTCTGTTTTCTTTCTCCCTGGAATCTTCACAGTACTTAGGGCACAGCATCTCTGACTCTTCTCCCTGTTCTCCTACTCACTGGTCCAGAAAGATTGGCTAAGTTACAGCTGATCAGAGAGAAGGACAACAGAGGTAAGCCAATCCCCCTCCTGTATCTCCACTGTAGTTGCAGTTGTTGCAGGCAACTGCAGTAGAAAGGCCCAGGATGGGGGTGGGTTGGGGAATGAGGCTGTGATTGGCTTATCAATCACAGTGAATCATAGCCCTGCCCCCTACTCCCTATACCATGCGCACTGTACACATTGCACACATGGATGATATGCCACTGTGTGAAGCGCAGCGTAAATAGTTGCCATTACATAAATATCTGTGTAATAAACAGGGGCGGACTGACAACTCATGGGGCGCACGGGCAATAGGGGATCATGGGGCCCCTGTGTCCTTGCCCAAAAACTCAAAAAAGCCTATGAAAAAGGTACCAGAGTCATCTCATGGGGCCCCCTACAGAAGGTAGTTGTGTTAAAATCTTTGCAATGTACATACAGTGAAGGAAATAAGTTCAGGTGTCTTTTATACAGGTAACAAAATTAGATTAGCAGCACTCCCTTTAAGAGACTGCTTCTAATCTCAGCTTGTTACCTGTATAAAAGACACCTGGTAGCCAGAAATCCTGCTGAATGATAGGGGATCAAATACGTATTTCCCTCATGAACATGCAAATCCGTGCAGAATTTGTTTGGCATGCATTTCTTTTGAATTTTTTGTTGCTATTCTGTCTCTCAGTGTTACAACCATTACCTACCATTCGATTTTTAGACTGATCATTTCTTTCTGAGTGGGCGAACATTCAAAATCAGCAGGGGATTAAATACTTATTAAATACTTATTTCCTTCCCTGTAGATCACCCAGAGGGGAAGTTTTTTTTTCTCTCAACAAAGGGGGAGATACTCTAAGTTTTGGCAACATTTAGTACAAACGGACTTAGGTCCATTCTGGCTCAGTTCTAATGCTAAAGTCCCAGTTCTACTGGATAGCTCCCC